GAGAACAACATCCGGGGATTTGATGCGTTCTCGATCTGGGGTTCTTGAGAATTGGAACGGTACTCGGGCTGAGGCTGATGACGTGTCACGAGTGTTATGTTCGGAAACATGCGGTTGACCGTTCTCATCTGTCCGGTTGGACTGTGTGAAGCGATGCACTGAAACTGACAAGTTACTGTGACTTTAAGGTTTGCAGCATCTAGGTACGGCAATGCCGTAAAGTGTTGTGTGTGCGGCAGTTCAATAAAACGCCTTAAACGAAGCAACGCGCGGTGGTCTTTGAGTCCTGCACAAACATAATAACGAGCACACGAGAACGCTCAAGAACGCATATTGAGAAACGCCCCTTGTCTCCCTAAACAGAGGTGAAGGGTCTGTTTATCTGTTCTTATTTCCCTCAAAAAAAACAACTTGTTGGTAGCTAAAGGTTTCCGCCAAACATGGTTCAATGGTTTCTTCTGAATATGTAAATTCCAGTTTCTGTTTGGTGAAACCTAAGAAAAAAACTGATCCGGTGGTCTCCACCTACATCCTACTGTCCATAAGAAGGAGGGGTTACCACAACAACCAATGACTCCATATGGACTAAGCTATATGGGCCTGTTTTACACAGGTGTTCTTTTAAGTTTTATTGAGCTTCTGCTTCTTTGGTTCACATGGTCACTGAAAGTTTTTGGTCTGCTTGTTTCTGATGTACCTGTGCAGTTGGTACCATAGTAACCCGTCTCGCAGAGGTCACATGACTTTCCTTTGAATCCTTTGTAGCATTTACATGCTCCTGAACCAGTAACACCATCTTGACAGTCTCCATGGCTGCTGCAGGGGTCTTCAACTCCACCTGGACACACTGGAACATAAGAGCAAAGGGTCAGCCCACATTTCAAATGTTATCCCATTGGGGAAATTAAATCTATAGAGTCTACCTTACCACGACATTCGCTGCCGTAGTGATTTTTGCAGCATTTCGGGACCCAGGCAGGAAACTGACAAACTCTCTTGCAGCGTTTTCTTCCATAACGATTCAGGTCATCATACCAGCTGGTTCGATACCCGAAGCGGGGCCGCATACAGCTCATCGTTTTCCCCTGTATGGTCACAGCAGTGAACGAATCAGTGTACAGCTTAAGGAATAGTTTGAGAGCTGAATGGTCGGTCCTTACCGTGTCGAGTTGGGGACAGCGTGGAGGGGACAAACAGCTCCCACAGCGGCCCTGAAACATTTCAAAGCAAAAGCCAATTCTGGGAGGAATATAAATGTATAGAACAGCTGTAATTTAAAGAAAACTCTATACTTGGTATGATTCATTACCAACAGAAACATGACAGTGTAGATCATGATTGTCAGATAGATCCTTAGCTCAAACAGAATCACACAATCTACAGTACAGAGAGGAAGACTTGTTCCAAAAGAAGAACATATCAGACAGCTGCAACTCTTCTGTGGATAATCCAGCATTTAAAGCCCAAGGTCAGAGTGGAAAAATCATTTTAATTATCTAATAATGGCACTTAGATAATAAATGATAGATAAAGACCCTTTAGACCACCGGTCCGCGGACCGGTACCAGCTCAAGACGCATCCTATCTATAACATCCTATCTTTGTGAAGCGGGATTTTCTGCGTTTACAGCAACCAAAACAAAGCTACGGAGCAGACTGGACATCAGGAGCACACTTCGTATGTCATTGTCTCCGATTACGCCTGGATGGGACCGGCTTGTTTCAGAGAAACAAGCTCAGGGCTCCCATCCATCCATCCATCTTCCTCCGCTTATCCGGGGTCGGGTCACGGGGGCAGCAGCCTAAGAAGGGAGGCCCAGACTTCCCTCTCCCCAGCCACTTCTTCTAGCTTCTCAGGAGGAACCCCAAGGCGTTCCCAGGCCAGCCGAGAAACATAGTCTCTCCGGCGTGTCCTGGGTCTTCCCCGGGGCCTCCTCCCGGTGGGACGTGCCC